ACGAAAAACACTTTGCAAAACTTCAGATCAGGGAAATTTTTTGACACTTTAATCATCAAAATCGGTCCAAAAATGAGGGAGGAGTTCTGTTCACAAAAATCGGCTTAGCGTATTATATATAGATTTATATAGTGTGACTTACATCTACAGCCCTATAATTAAAGACGTAATACTTATGCCAAGATGGAGAGTTGGGCTTACTTACTTGATGTCCTTGTATAGTCACCAACTGCTAAATGAATCTGCAATCACAGGTTTCATCAACGTGTAAGGCATTCTTCAGGGTCAAAATTGATCGCAGGGCTGTCAAGGCAGGCAAGCCTCCTATGGTTGGCTGCAAGTTGGTAAGGTAAAAACCATAGGACCTGAGGATATTAGTAAATACCCCCGCCACAGCAAACCTGCAGACTAAGCGAATTTCCATTTGACTGATTGGATTTACACTGAAATGTCTACTTAAAAATATAACATTTTTATTCCCGATTTAAATAGAATTAGTTTAACAAGTACTTAGGTTTGCTGCATCAGGGAGGGTAAAATTGTTTTTTTTTTGTAAAATGTTAATAGTTAGTAAGAAATAAAAACATTTTCCAAATTTGATCAAAATATGTTCATAAACAAGCAAACTACAACCGTTTACTTATTCTCCATAAGAATAACATGGGAATTTTAAATTTACAATTTTTTTGAATTTTCTCCGTAACCGTTAGGTGCATAATAACGCTTCAATATACTAAATTATTTGTTTTTTTAAGCTCTACAAAATGGTTTGGAAATAAATTGCAAAATTTTAAGTTTTTTGGGTAAAAAATGGGAAAAACCTATTTTTACCCCATAAAACCCCCCGTAAACACCCGTTCCCATGGTCCGATCATGCTGGATCGCGAACTCGTTCGAATAAACGTAGGTTTACACGTTTGTACCAAATTTCATCAAAATCGGATCATTTTTGCTTGAGTTATCGTGCTGACGGACACACATATATATATATATATATATATAAATATATAAATATATAAATATATATATATATATATGAATTTGAACGGATGGTGTTTTTGGCCTCTAGGGACCTCAAAACGAAAAAAAAAATCGGTCCCGCGTCCAGGTCTTACCATGAGTACTACGGTAATAGCTTATTCCCTATATGGGAAATTCGCTAAAAGCAGGGTTTCAGAAGAATTAGTTTTTAAGTGGACGTTAAAATCACCTCCATCACACGCGCATGTTACGCTTGCTAACGCTAGACACTTTTCCAAGAGTTTAAAGTGTATTGACTGGTATCCAGAGGGTGAGTGGTAAACAGCAAGAATAGAGATGGATTGATTACATATTAGCTCAATACCAGTAGGTAACTTCAAAGACAAGTTCCACACATATAATTGTTCAAGATCAAGTTTCTTACAGCTAAGGTTGTTATTTACATATATGGCAATAACGCCCCAATTCTTTTTTTTATACCTAGTGAAAAAAAGAACGGGAGTGTTGTCATATAAGTTATGTAAATAACAACCTTAGCTGTAAGCTGTTCATGCCCATGGGAGAGGGTTTATCGAAAAACTGATATTTTTCGGGGAAATTTCACATCAAGACGCATTGGTTTGCTTTCTTACGGGATTCTCAAAAGTTTGTAATGAAAAGCTAATGAGCTTTATATTTATTTATTTATTTGCCAACGGATTTACACCAATTTTACAGTTTAATTGAGTTGTCAATTGCTCATTATGACTAGATAACCCATAATAATAACAATGAAAGGAATGTCAAATGTAACAATAATAAGAGTAAAGTATACATGTGAAAAACTTGGACAAAGAAAGAACTGAGTAATGATAAGCAAAATACATATAGACCAGGCCGTGGTTGGGGTTGAGTATGCAAAATTATTCGGACGCACTTTGTCTTTTGATTTAGTCAGGTTGGGTAGCAGGAAATTATTTCAGTTCTGGCAGAGAGGCCGCAATTTTAGGTGGTTATAGTATACAGGTTTCTGAACCTAAAACCGCCCAGACCCCAATTTTTAAGGACCTGGGTCGTCCGTAATGACGGCATCATAATGGCGGTCGTAAGAGGATGCTGGGTCCCCATGAATTGGCTAGATAACGACCGAATGCCTGAACCGATTTTCATGAAATTTGGCACACAAGTGCTTGAATACATTATCTCGGCCTGGGTTGAAAATGGTCAAGTTTCATCAAGTCATTTCAAAATGGTGGCTGTTCAAAACTAAAAAAATTACGAGGAAAATAATCGTGAATTGTTTTATACAGGGTGAGTTTTAAATGAGTTCCCCCCCCCCTACTTTTTTATACATTTCTTAAGATATCAACTTTAAACCATGTCAGGTAGTCAGGTCTAGTGTAGCAAGTACTTCATTTTGACTGGGTTTAAATTTTTGGCCGCCATCTTGGATCCGCCATTTTGGATAAAAAGTTTTATTTTTTCAAATGTAAAGGTAGGGTTGTGACCCACCGTTTCAAACAAGACTTTTACGCTGAATACGATGCTGCAATCCGTTAAAAAAAATGTTGATCCATTCTAATGTTATGAGAACTTTTTATAACTTTATTTTTAGTCCATTATAACATTGTGCATTTACAAACTAAGACCATAATCTCAAAATAGTGCTAGATAAAGATAAGTGGACACCACCATTCATTGTTGACCTATTTTCACTCGGTTATGACGGATGTATTTTTTCAGCCGCCATCTTGGATCCACCATTTTGAAGTGTGATAAATTATTTTAAATATTAAGGTGGTGTTGTGACCCATCATTGTGAATTACTTTTTTATGTTGAATTCAATGCCGCAATCCGTTTTTCATTGTCATATTTGGTTTTTTAAATATTGACATTTGAAATCAAAATAATATTGTTATATTTTATCAAGAAAGCTTGGTAAAAAACGGATAAAATAAAACCCAGTCAAAATGAAGTACTCGCTTCTCTACATATATGACCTGGTTCGGAGTTGATATCCGACCCGTGTATAAATACCCCCGCCGCAGCAAACCTGCCGACTAAGCGAATTTCCATTTGTCTGAATTGATTTTCAGTTAAATATATTTTTAATAACATTAGGTTTAACGAGTACCTAGGTTTGCTGCTACAAGGAAACTAATAAAGTGTGTTTTTGAGTAAAATATTGATAGCTTAGTACAAAATAAATAAATTTGCCAAGTTTGATCAAAATATATCCATAAACAAGCAAACTACAACATTTGACAATATTCTGCATAAGAATAACATGGGAATTTTAAATTTACAATTTTTTTAAATTTTCTCCGTTACTAATAATCGAACAAAAATACTTTTATATACTAAATTATTTGTTTTTTTAAGCTCTTTAAAAAGGTCTAAAGAGAAATCGGGAAATTTTGTGTTTTGAGGGCCAAAAGTGAGAAAACCCAATTTTTACCCCATTAAACCCCCCGTAAAGCCCCGTTCCCATGGTCCGATCGTGCTGGTTCGCGAACTCATTCAAGTTTATCCTGCTTTACACCTTTAAACCAAATTTAATCATAATCGGACAAAAATTACTCAAGTTATCGCGTTCACGGACGTATATATATATAAGTCTATAATAAGTAAATGAATTTAAAAAGGGTACTAATGTTTTTATAATGTTTTCAATTATTTATATAAGTCTATATATATATATATATACATATATAAAAATTTGAACGAATGGTGTTTTTGGCCTCTGGGGACATCCAAATGAAAAAGTAAATCGGTCCCGGGTCTAGGTCTTACCGTGCCACCTACGGTAATAGCTACTTCCCTATAGGGAAATTCGCTAAAAAGTAGGGGGGAATCTGATTTAAAACTCACCCTGTATAAAACAATTCACAATTATTTTCCTCATATTTTTTTTTAGTTTTGAACAGCCGCCATTTTGAAATGACTTGATGAAACTTGACCATTTTCAACCCAGGCCGAGATAATGTATTCAAGCACTTGTGTGCCAAATTTCATGAAAATCGGTTTAGGCATTCAGTCATTATAGCCAATTCATGGGGACCCAGCATCCTCTTACGGCCGCCATTTTTATGACGTCATTACGGACGACCGAGGTCCTTAAAAATTGGGGTCTGGGCGGTTTTAGGTTCAGAAACTTGTATACTATAACCACCTAAAATTGCAGCCTCTCTGCCAGAACTGAAATATTCTGCCATCATATGCAGCTATACGACCCCACTATAAGGACACTTTGGACAGTAAGAAAATGCATGTTGCCACGATCGGCGTCGGTCGAGTACCAATATGGCTGCCATCCAATATGACGGACCACCCGACTTGACCTTGATCGAGAAAAATGCAAATAACTCCATCGTTTTTTGACCGATTTTGATAATTCTATTATAGTTGAAAAGAAGAAGAAATTTGCTTTAAGAGTCTCCATTACACTTATAAAGTGATATCCCGTTTAAAAAAGTGGTAAATTAGATTTTAATAAAGATTTTACTTTTAAAACGGATTAAATATACATTGAGGTGATTATATTTGAGTTTTTACTGACGAAATATGTCCGAACTCAACCTGTAGCTGCTTGGGTAACAAAAACGTAATTATCCTTTCATTTAATAACCAAAATCTAATAATTAGTAATCTAATAATCCATATATTATTAATGTTATTAATTTACGACGAAACACAATATTGGAGAAGGTACGTTTTTAAAAAAGAGCAATGCAAGAAAAACTTCATGTAACGATTGGGTAAACAGATTTTTTAGGGTAATTCGACCCTGCTGAGTACAAATCTGCGTGTTGGAGTATGTTTTATCTATTATATTATTAGCTTTATATATATATATATATATATTGGTTTTAATATAGTAGCAATTTGGAAATAGTAATACAACCAACCAGTGAAACCTTTTCCACTGGTATCCCCAGAAACGTGTGCTCAGCTGGTTGAGCTAATATTGCTATTTTTTCACATGTGACGTTTGTCTTTATGTGACAAATTAAAATAGTCGTCTGGCCTGTTGGTTTGGTGTTTGGTTGGTTTTGGTTGGTGTATGATGGTCTACATGAAGCATAACAATAACAGTTAATAATTTGTTTGAAGTTTTTTATTTGTTGGTTATTATAATTAGATCTATGTTCGGTTGTATGGAAAATTGTATCTTCTTCAGGCTTTACGTATGAAGTGATTTAATGCAGTGTGGTGAATTGGTGATCAGGCAAAAGCCTATTATGACAATCATGACCCAAAATGTGGGCTTGATTGAAACTAGTGCAAGTGCGAGGTTATTGTCCAAGAAACCCCCAGAAAAAGAAATAATACATTCTGGACACTTCATGGTTTCAAACTTTGAAGCAGATGCACAGGACGATGAAGATGTGTTTGCCAGTAATTCATATGAAGGAAAACGTGATGACAATAATGCAAGTGGGGTACCTTCAAGTTCTTCAATCGGTAATACTCCTGGTACTGCTGTACACAAATTTAAGCCTATTCAACACATCTCAATTGAAACATCACTCACCAAGCTCTTCCAATGCATGTCTTTGGCTTACAGGTGAGTAAATTTATTTACAAATTTGAGAGTTATGAACAGAATATAACCGTCATTCGATTTTTTTCATTATCAGCAGGTTTGGTTAGTTAGGTTAGGTTATGACAAAAACTGCTGGACGCCTAATCCACGTCCGGTTACCAGATGCGTATCGTCTGCCTTTCAGGATAGGCCTATTTATTTTTCTGAAGGTCCCAAGTTTTCTAAGCAAATTCCATTAAAGGAATTACACTTGTAGGCCTACACTACTTTTATTATGTTGTGACTTCTTTGATTCTACAGGATTGCACTTTTCTCCTAGGCTACATAGCCTACATCCATTTAATTCATTTTCAAAAACACGCTGAGGGTGTTATATCTAGCCTATGTAGCCTAACTTAAAAAGTGGGTCTTACTTTTCTGTTACTTAGCAGTACTTGTCATTAACTGACTAAGTTACCAAGATCGCACCACTCATCCTACACTCATCTCCATTCATAATTGGCTTAAAATACCTACCTTTATATGGTCGCAATTTAAAAGAAATAGGCTAGTATATTAACTCTTAATTTGTTTATTAGGCCTAGGCCTAGTTAGTGGGAAGTTAGGACCTTACTCTTACTTAGGCCTACTCTTACTCCTGTGGCCATTGAAAACCAAGGCAGTAAGTTACTTGGCCTTGCCAACAATGTGCCTGGGCCATTCCATATCAAATCAACAAGGGTCACAACCCGACCATCTCAGATTTTTATACAATTTTTCACGTTTGTTACCCTGACAAATACAAACACAGAACATGTTTTGTTTATTTTTATCTCTTCCCGTTTATTTATAATTAATTTTTAAAAACTTCCAAAATCGGCATTTTTTTACTTGCGGGGAGATTTTGAAAAATTTACAGATTGAGTTCTATTCATGCTAGAGAAGGCAGAAAGGTCTCATTTTATTCCTGATGTTCGGGGCTTTAATTTGATATGCAACATGACTATATTCTAAAAGATTCCATTTTCCAAGAAAGTTATGAAAAATTTTATGTACCGTAATTTAAAAAAATGGTATTTTTAAAATTCTGAAAAAAATGTATGATGTACTTTACACTATTGACCATAAATGCTGTAAGTCTCATTATGGGGCGGACACGGGATCACACCTAAACACTAGACCTAACTTAATCTTCAAAGTAATGTTTCTGAGTGAGCATTTATTGCGCATTGGCTGCATAATGCCTAGTTCAGAAAAACGTTTAAGTATCAAGTGGCCATATTTATAAACAACTAATAATAGGCTATCTGTCAAACTATTTACTATATGCTGTAAGTTTCATCATGGAATGGCTTTAAGATTACTATGACATAATAATTATTAAAAATAAAACAATGTTTGTTCCTATTAGCCCAAAAGTGTGTTGTTGTATCTCCATTTTTATAAGGTGTCTAGTGAAAGTGCTTTGAAATTACTATATATAGCCTATATTATTATCTATAATAGGCTGAAATTGTGTACTTATGTTTCATTAAACAGGTAAGAAGACACTGTAGGAATGTAGGGCTACTAACATAAGCGTCCTTTACATAAACAATTATTTCTTAGCTGTAAAATATCAAATTTACCCTATTTACAAAGAAATATTGGGATGTGAACCCTGCACTTTATTTTCTTAACACGTTCTTATCACGGTAATTTCCGCCCCGCTGTACTGGCGTCACTGGCGCCGGGCGGGAAATTTCGTCCTTCACCAATGCAAACAACCTTGTTGCAATATGAGCTCAGCCATTGCCGGGGAACGTTGTAATCTTTACCAGCCTGTAGCTTAGAATGTGAGCTTTATTCTGATGTAGGTTGGTACTAAAATTGCCAGTAAAATCCCGTCTGGCAATGCTTTTGTCCCGTTTTCGGAGATTTTCTCTATTCGAGCCATATTACAAAGACTCCGGTTATTGATCCAGGCAGTGCTGCTACCTTTTTGTGTTGCTACCTGGGTGTTTCAGTGAACAACGTCCACTATCGGGGTAACGCAGAACAATCACCACTGCTCTTTTGTGATTAGTCTTACTGAGATATTTCAATACCAATAGCGATCGCTGATTCAATTAGCGCGTCGGGGCTCGGCCCGAGCGCCTGTTTAAAAGTTTTCAGCAGCGAACGTGTTAATAAGACTGGAACACAATAGCATTTCACTTGGTGTCAGTGTGTAGGTTCTTCCAGGTGCTATCTTTGGGTTCAGTATTGCTCTCACATAACTTTCCTTGATCTCTAAGACGTCTAGATGATGTGGGAATGAAAAAGATGCTGCTGGTCCATGTGGGTGCAAAAAGCTGACCTTAATTGAATCCATCACACCATTGGTCATCATATTCACATGCAATATAGCCCCCACATTTAAACTCACTGAAGGGTACAGGATCTGAATCTAAATCTGTTACTCGCTCTATTTGGCTATAATTTGAGTTAGAGTATTGTTTTGTGGTAATTTTGTTTCTGGTAAGGGGATGAAAAGCATGCAATGTTTGAGTGCCAGTGATGGTGCAACACTTATCAAATCTTTCCTTTAGTTGGCATCAAAAGTGTCTCTGAAAAGATCTGCCAACGTTTCAGATTTTGGACAAAAGTCACAATCGCTGAAAAAGCAGCTGGGCAAAGGAGGATTACACATCGCTCTAGCAATAAAGTGGTAATATGTTATTTCTTCTTCAGCCAATTTTGATATCCTGCAACCATCGAGATTAACTTGGTTTTGGTGTTTTTTACAGACAAACACTATTCAGGGTAATGTCACACTAGGCTCTTTCTGTCGCGCGCGACGGGAATAGTCGCTGAGGGGTGCCACATTGACGCGACAATAATCGCGGTGTCACGACGTTTTTTGTAGCTAGCGCAAAAATTGACCCTGGGTGCCACACTGTCGGTAAAAATCGTCGGCTTTGGCAGTTGTCAAGGATCAAGTTTTAATTATATTAGTTTAACTAAACAAAAAACCATTTGTTATAAAAAATACAACGATCTAAAAAAATTATCACAAACCTACATATTATTTTAAAGGAAATTGCAAAACTCAACTGCATTATAAATTAATATTATTGAACACCAAAAAATATCTTAAAAAATGCCATTACTTATTTATGTAAATGTAAATACTATTAACACTTAACCAAAAGCTAGATGAAAATAACCACATTACTTTCATTATTTGACAGTGTACACAATAAGGGTTTTCAATTATTATGGATGTAATAGCTAAATCTGACCGTTTTAACTTTAGGCCTATATTCATTTGTACAGAGATACCCAATAATACACTAGGGGGGCGCAATACGCCGCAACGATTTTTCATTTTACAATGAATATTCACGCTCATAAAACATAATATAAAGTGGGTTGTAATTTCAGTAGTTTGATGTTTATATTCAGCTAACAACATATGCTCTTCTGTTATCCTGTGTTTTACCAAATAGATGTTTTAGTATGCAATTAATACAAATTATTATTTGTATAAGTACGATGAAGCGTGGCTGCTGCGCGACTGACGGGAAAAACAGCCGAGTGTGGCAGGGTTGCCGGCGACAATTCCCGCCGAAGAAATAGGCCCAGTCCCATTCCAGCACGGCTGTCGCGGGCGGCAACTCCACTGAGCGACAATTCCCGACTGGTGTGGCACCCTCCATTTGATCCCTTGAGTTCTATTTTTTGCGCGACAGAAACCGCCCAACTCCAGCGACAAAAACAGCCTAGTGTGGCATTACCCTCATAGAGTGCCACTTCCACCTGCTAACAAACAATTCTTAGGCCTTAAATCTGCAAATTTTGAATAACCAATCTTCACATTGGTGTACTCATCTTTGAATTCAGAGTAAATCTCTTTGAGGTTACTTAGCACTAATCGCTTTTGTACTTGTGTTTTTTTTTTTGCCATTAGCTAGTATGGTTACAAAATCTATTTTCCCGGCATTAGTCTACTGATATCATCAGAACAGTAAAAACTGTTGACTAAGTCAACATTTTTCTGATCAAGCAATTAGGTTTAGGGTTAGGATGAGATAATATTCCCTTTTCTTTTACCAATTCCTTAACTTTCCTAGCCATGTATGTGTAAGTAGGCCTACTTCATATAACTTTCTTTTTTAATTAGGCTTATTATGCAGCTGTTTCAATGTGTAGGCATTGTGAATGTTAACCCTCTTCCGATCAATGTTTCTACATTACTCCTAAGTTTTAGTGTTTAGGTGTGATCCAATGTCCGTCCCATAATGAAACTTACAGCATTTATGGTCAATAGTGTAAAGTACATCATACATTTTTTTCAGAATTTTAAAAATACCATTTTTACTTTCTCCCCCTATACCATAGTATATGGAGAAAGTATTGTTTTCGTCAAAATTTTCGAGTTTGAGTTTTGAGTGGATATAGGCTATTCGTTTTGGGTCCCCCTGGACCCAAAAAAGTGGTTTTCGAATTGATGTCTGTGTGTGTGTCTGTGTGTCTGGATGTGTACAGAGCTAGGGACTACACCTGTGGTCCGATTTCGATGAAATTTGGTATGTAGGTTCTAATCCATGGTATCTCCAGGCGTTTTTTTTTAATTTTTTTGAAATTTTGATTTTTAATGGGGATTTTCCTCCAAAAAAAACCGGAAAAATCGGATTTTCTCAAAAATGGCCCGAACGATTTTCATAAAAATTTAGTATGTTGTAGCAGCCCTTTAAATTCTGAACAAAATGGTACAAATCCCATTTCTGTAAAAATTACGGTTCAAAAGTTAGGCTATGGTAAATTATGTTATTTTCCCATAAAAACCCATAAAATAACAAAAAATTGGATTTATGACAAAAATCCGGTTTTGATTTAACATAGCCTAGTATGTTATGATCCTTACAATTTTGATAGTTTTTTTTTATTTTTTAGAAATTTTTATTTTTAATGGGGATTTTCCCATAAAACCCCATAAAATAACTGAAAAATAAGAATTTTCCCGAAAATGGCCCGAACGATTTTGATAAAAATTTAGTATGTTATAGTCCTTTATATTT